AATAAATTACATGCAATAAAACCAACTATCGGTTACACCTACTTTGGGGTGTCCTCCCATTACGCAGACAACCAGTTCGCAGACACCTTAAAACAACAACATTTACGGTTCAGTGAACAGATTATCTACTACCTGTTACCTACACATTATAATGGAATAGTCCAAATAAAAACACAGGAACAAACTGAAGCTATTTTATTTATTTGAAAGATGGATGAAAAGACATAAACATTTCTAGTCTAACGGGCGTTGGCATCATCATATTGAAAACATTAGCTTATCTATTAGAAATTGCGACACTGTTGTATCATATAAATCAAATAAAGACAAATGTGAACCTAAATATTATTCATATGGAATAAAGAAGTTATATGTTTTGCACACAATATTAAGATATATGACGAGTGCACTTAATTATGATATATTTAGAATACATATTTAAAAATATGACGCATCATGTCAATGTGGCCATGGATGTGAGAACGTTTTTCATTACTTCCTTGAATGTCCATTGTATACTACTCAAAGACATAAACTGTTACAATCTTTAGAAATTATCGTTAAAATTAGAACACTGATTGGTATTAATCGTATCTTAATTACATGGCAATATAGGTCTCTCATTTACTGCAAATCAGAATGTTTTCAAATATGTACATATCTATATCTCTCCAACAAAACGTTTTCTCAATTAACTTCTGTTGTACATATGCTATTATTGGGAGGGGGGCTTTTCTATCAATAAACGCAATCAAACCTCTAAGTGACAAACCTGTTTTTATATTAGATAGTAATTGGAAGTAAAATCAATTTTGAGACAAATATCATTTATCATTTAATCACAACAAAGTTCCATTTACCCACAATCAAACTTCTCAGTAACAATCCTGCTTCGGGCTCACCCTGCTCTACCCACTGTACAGTGGACTGTTCCATTATACCCGTAGGTGTTACCCTAATTAACCTTCTAGTTCAGTGTCTGCCAATTGGGTGTCTGTCAAATGGGTGTCTGTCAAATGGGAGATAACCTACTTGGGTTGTCAGTCCAGATTTGAAGAGGTCATCATGCGACGATGTCGTATTGGCCACACTAGATACACTCATGCATACCTATTGAAAGGTGAGGAACCTCCGTTTTGTATCCCTTGTGATGAGAGAACCACGGTTAAGCATGTCCTGCTAGACTGTGTTGAATTCTCCATTATAAGGGATAAATACTTCAATGTGAAAAAAGTTAAGGATCTTTTTACCACTGTTAATTTTCATTTAATTATTGACTTTTTAAAAGAAATTGATTTAATGAATGAATTTTGAATAATATGTTCTGTACATATATGTATTTTAATTATCGGTAGATTTGATAAGTAACTTAGATTGTTAGTGGCAGTGCCCTCAAAGGGGGTTGAAGTAGCGAAATATTATTGTCCTCCTGAGAGGGTACGTAAGTCCCAAAACATTCAAAGAAAATTTAAACCTGCTACTATTTTAATCGTTGAATATATGTTCGTTTAATTTATGGCTAGATTATCTAACATTGCTAATAACTGAGGGGATGGTATAAATCCAGCTAGGGCCCATGCAGGAAGCAAATGTACTGTAAGTCCCCATGGTCCCTAGTATGGTGATCTACCTTCAGTTGTTGGCAATCTATAGCCCGTTTTTACCTTGTATTGACATCTATAGTTAAACTGTTTAAGATTTAATTACTAGTTTTAATTTCGAATCTGTGATAATCTAGTTATTTTACTGTCCTTCGTTGACAGGTTTTCTATTGTTTACCATTGCTTACTATGCATGAAATTAATTGTTCTCGTCACGATATGGCTGAAATATTGCCGATGTAACGTTACTCACTAAGGTATGACACTCACTAAGGTATGACAGTAGCTCTATGTACTAAGGTGTGGTAAACACAATGTTTTGAGGTGTGGATAGCTCTTAGAAATGGGTAGGTCAAATGGGCGAAGTGCGTTCTGACATCATTCTAAGTATTATTACTGCATTCTAACTGCATTCTACGTATTCTGAACGTATTCGAGGGGGAATACAAAAAGGCAAGCCACTTCAAATCTTGTCAGAACGTCCCGAAAGCGCCTCGGATGAGTCGGAATGTATCTCGATTGCTGCTTGGAATTCAAGTGGAATATTCTTCAAATGTATCGCAATATTTCGAATGCAGTTGGAATACAGCTCGAATGTACCTCGATTACAGTCAGAACGTCCCGAATGCGCCCCAAAAGAGTCATGACATCATCTGAACGCCGCCGAATCGCATAAAAATGTGTCCACGCGTCCACCTTAGACCTCATACAAATGTTTACGACAGGGTGCTACACGTCCACCTTAGACCTCATACAAATGTTAACGATAGGGTACTACACGTCAACCTTAGACCTGTTACAAATGTTAACGACAGGGTGCTACACGTCCACCTTAGACCTCATAAAATGTTAACGACAGGTTGCTACACGTCCACCTTAGACCTCATACAAATATTAACGATAGGGTGCTACACGTCCACCTAAGACCTGTTACAAATGCTAACGACAGGGTGCTACACGTCCACATTAGACCTGTTACAAATGTTAACGACTGGGTGCTACACGTCCACCTTAGACCTCATACAAATGTTAACGATAGGGTGCTACACGTGCACATTAGACCTCATACAAATGTTAACGATAGGGTGCTACACGTCCACATTAGACCTGTTACAAATGTTAACGATAGGGTGCTACACGTCCACATTAGACCTCATACAAATGTTAACGACAGAGTGCTACACGTCCACCTTAGACCTGTTACAAATGTTAACGACAGGGTGCTACACGTCCACCTTAGACCTCATAAAATGTTAACGACAGGTTGCTACACGTCCACCTTAGACCTCATACAAATATTAACGATAGGGTGCTACACGTCCACCTTAGACCTGTTACAAATGCTAACGACAGGGTGCTACACGTCCACATTAGACCTGTTACAAATGTTAACGATAGGGTGCTACACGTCCACATTAGACCTCATACAAATGTTAACGACAGAGTGCTACACGTCCACCTTAGACCTGTTACAAATGTAAACGACAGGGTGCTACACGTCCACCTTAGACCTCATACAAATATTAACGATAGGGTGCTACAAGTCAACCTTAGACCTGTTACAAATGCTAACGACAGGGTGCTACACGTCCACATTAGACCTCATACAAATGTTAACGATTGGGTGCAACACGTCCACCTTAGACCTCATACAAATGTTAACGACAGGGTGCTACTAGTCCACCTTAGACCTCATACAAATGTTAACGATAGGGTGCTACACGTCCACATTAGACCTGTTACAAATGTTAACGATAGGGTGCTACACGTCCACATTAGACCTGTTACAAATGTTAACGATAGGGTGCTACACGTCCACATTAGACCTCATACAAATGTTAACGACAGAGTGCTACACGTCGACCTTAGACCTCATACAAATGTTAACAATAGGGTGCTACACGTCTCCAGCCGACTAGCCTCTATCCCAGATCTACAGACCACCTTAGACCTCATACAAATGTTAACGATAGGGCGTTACACGTCTACAGCCGACTAGCCTCTTTCCCAGACCTACAGACCACTTTAGACCTCATACAAATGTGAACGATAGGGCGTTACACGTCTATAGTCGACTAGCCTCTATCCCAGACCAACAAACCACATTAGACGTCATACAAATGTTAACGACAGGGTGCTACACGTCTACAGCCCACTAGCCTCTATCCCAGACCAACAGACCAGTTTCTTTTAAGTGAGTGGTTAAATAGACTCAAAAGTGGCCTAAAAATTGAAAAACATTTCTACTAACACTATTGGACTAATGTTAATATATAATTTCAATAAGAACAAACAACTCCATTTATATTAAAAAGCAGGTCATATAAAATTCAGACTTACTTCATTTACTGTTATTCAAGTGAGGGATTGTGGAACGGTAAAATAATTTAGTCACAGACTGTGGGAAAGCCTAAAAGGTTAACTTGTGAAGTAAATGAAAGTTTCTTAATAAATATTAATCAACCTGTAAACTGAGTGAGTGATTATGGTTTTATGACACTTTTAGCAATATTTCAAGCAATATCACTGCGGGGGACACAAGACATGGGCTTCACATCATTGTACCTATGTGGCGAATCGTGCCCGGGTCTTCGGCGTGACAAGCGAACGCTTCAAACACTAGGCTACCCCATTGTCCCTATAATATAGAGGACATCGAAAAGAATTACCTACTTCAACACATCAAGGGAAATGTAATACATTTAGCTGCACATCTGAAATAAAGTAATTAAATTCATTTGGGGATTTAAACAAAAACAACGTCTTTACAAAACAAATTCTCTCCCCTATACTACCTATTGAAAATAAATACCTCCTTAATTTATATGATTTATAAATGCACGTTATATGAATACGATTGGTGATGGAATTCCTCGACTTTTCTGCCAACCCACTGCATGCAGCTCAGTTCTAATTGTCTCCTAACAGACAGCCACAGTTCCTGTATCAATCGTATCCAGCCTTACGTTTTCTAAACTCCTTCGTTTGTTTTTAGAAACAAGAATACCAAGCCGCTTCCAGTCACCGAAGGTCAATTTTCTGGGCCTACCTGCGCCACCCTGGTGCTCAATGTCATATCTATTTGCAATATTTTTCAAAACACGATAGACAGTGGACAAAGAGATGCCTGTTCTACTTGAAATCACTTTAGCTGATCTGATGTCCTTGTTATAATACACTGAAATCAACTTCCTCTTCTCTAAATCATCAATGAGGACCTTAACTATTATCAACTCACTCACTCACTATTCATATCCTGCATGTATTTAATATGTATCACAATAGATTAACTTCATATTGTCCAGAAAAATGTAATATATGACTTCAATAACATGCCCTATCGATACCCAAGAAAACAGTAATAATGTGATAAAAAAGGTCAATTCAACTTGAAACTGTTCAGTAATCATTGATTTTATTCATGATTCTGTCAGCTTAATGGACACTTGTTGAAGCACAGCTACATTTATATTGGAATTAACACAGCATTTGTCAAAGACAAAGTGGTATGTCCTATAAATCTAAATGAAAACAGCATAGAATTCCACAATTAAGTGATATACATCATAATACAATCCGCGATGTCTATTGTCTACCACCATCTCTCGTAGTGAATGCTTGATTCTGTGATGCCGCAAGCTTTAAGCATTGTTTCTATGTCTGCTATCATGGGGGATGGTCCGCACAAGTAGCACTCCACCTTCCCCGGCTTCAACGTGGCCATCGCTTCCTGCACATGCTCCTGTTTGATTCGACTGTCTGTGCGAATGAAGAAAAAACATATATTGTCATAACATACAAAACTAAACTGATTGTCATTGAGCGATTTTTTTTAAATTGCAGCTTTTGTTTAGATGGACATTTAAATACAGCAATATTTCTTGACCCTCTAGACAAGCCGAATACCAAAGGAGTGAGTGAGTGAGTTTAGTTTTACGCCGCACTCAGCAATATTCCAGCTATATGGCGGCGGTCTGTAAATAATCGAGTCTGGACCAGACAATCCAGTGATCAACAGCATGAGCATCGATCTGCGCAATTGGGAACCGATGACATGTGTCAACCAAGTCAGCGAAACTGACCACCCGATCCCGTTAGTCGCCTCTTACGACAAGATAGTCGCCTTTTTATGGCAAGCACATGGGTTGCTGAAGACCTATTCTACCCCGGATCTTCACGGGTCGAATATCGAAGGAAGGATCGCACACTGGCTTATGAACATCGGAGCTACTGCAAACATCAACGCGACAACTCTTTTTGTTTATTTACATCATTTTAAACAATAATGATGATGATGATGATGATGATGATGATGATGACGATCTGTAGTCAGTCCAAAAATAGAAACACTAAAAGAAGAATTCACCATGCAACTATTACTTTACAAATTGATGATAGCTTGTTAAGTAAATTGTTTATTTTTGAGACAAACGTTATCAAACTTTTTTCCAGAGTTCGTCTGATGTTTCCATTACATTCTTTGTTGAAATGAATGTTTGATCATGAACCGTTGTGGCGTTAGATTGTGATTCATCGGTATCATTTTGACTCAAGACTATAATTGGATAGCTGTAAGGAGACTCACGCGGCATATTTTCTATGGCAAGTTGATGAAGCACAAAGAGAGCCGGGAACCAGCTTAAGTTGATTGTAATAACAAACAATGGAAACACATTTTCCTATTCGCTGCGGGACGAAGCATAAATAGCTTGGGTTTTCCCGTTTTCATACTTCCCGTTTATAAAAGCGAGCAGGTAGCTTGTGTAGTTACAAAATCTGACCAAATACTATTAAATAACAGGGGGAGAAAGACAATCGATAAGATAGGGTCATAATGAAGACGGGGCGGGGGCTTGTTTTGGTGTAGATCTACGAAGACACTGAAAGTGAAAGTGAAAGTAGGATGACGGAAGTGATGTAAGCAGGGGTGTTAACCGTCAGCCAGTTTCTCTCCAAGTCGCCGTCCACCACCTCGCAACATTTTGAAGGCTTGCAACGTATGCCGTGACGTCTTGCGTCGTGAGTAGGTTCAGTAGTGTGTATGTAATCAGCTGTTAACGTCTACAGTGCTTTTCAAATCTGTGTACCAAAGATTATGCATCAACAGACAAACGTCCGAGGTGAAGCAGATACAGCCATGAACAGGGGCGGATACAGCTTTTTGAGAAAGTGGGGGGTGCACACTATTGAGAAAAGGAGGGCTGCACACTTCAATTTCACCCGAGTTTCAAGGGTCATTTAACAAACTTTCAGCACAAAAGTGGCGGTGCGCACCCCTGCACCCCACCCCCCCCTTGATCCGCCTATGCATGAATGTTATAAATATTCATCCAGTTTCAACATGGCTGAAATTTAAGCTCTGTTCGTCCTTGTGGGGAGGTCATTTCTGCTTCACCGATGTCTTCTCTGGAAATACACAAAGGGAGCTGAAGCTTCATGACATCCCAGTTTTATTGGTGATGTGACAAGACCGACCAACTGAATAGACTCATTTATGACCATCATCATTTATCAGTATGAATCCATTTGAATGGATTGTTTTCAAAATTTGGGGATCTCCATATCTACAGGAGAGGTGCAGTGTAATGTTACACTTTGATATTGTTAATACATCAATAGTCAGCACAAATTCTCTTGAGCTCGAGAAAAAGTCCCACATCAAATTTGTTCACGTAATAACCTTAGAATCATTCATTTCTGGTGTCCCAGTCGTGATATAGCTGGAATATTGGTAAAAGCAAGACAGTCCAATGATCAACAGCATGAGCATCAGTCATGATAAGTCAGCATGCCTGAACACCATGATCCTGTTGTTTGCATGGTTTGTTGAACACCAGTTCTAACCCGGTTCATGTTGATGCAAGCGTAATTTTTATCTTGAGAAGATATGAGGCGTCAGCAGGGTATTCACCTTATAATATTACCACAAAAAGGTTGCATTTTTTTGCAATGAAAAAATGGATACAAGTGACATAAAAAACGAAAATTCTTGGTTTGATGTGGTATGTACCTTATTCCAGGTATTTAATTTTAACTGTTTAGTGAATATTCTGGGTGGCTGAATGTTTGCCTGAATTTGACTAGCATCATAGACACCAGACATATGATGGAATTTGACTCGGACATTATAATTCTTTCAACAGCAAATAAAAACAAAGTATGAGACTAGTGAGGTTGTTTGTCAAAGATGTATATGGGTTATATAGTTATAATAGTGGGTGAGCTACAGAGCCCTTGGAACAATGTTGTCAGACCAGCTTACATATAGGTTATTGTCATGTTTAGATTCCATATTATTTTCACAGACAGAGAGCATGGTGAAGTGAGGAGGTGAACTTGTGATGGCCAGTAGAACGAACACCATCTGGTCATGGCCACTTCCGGTGTGTCATCTGAAATCAAATGAACACTTCTGGTGAGCAGCCTGAAGGTCATATGGCCACTTCTGGTGAGCAGTCTGAAGGTCACATGGACACTTCCGGTGAGCAGTCCGAAGGTCCCGTGGACACTTCTGGTGAGCAGCCTGAAGGTCACATGGCCACTTCCGGTGAGCATTCAGAATCTGATGTTGACATGGTCAGTTCAGACGAGGAACATGAAGGTCACTTGGTACCAACAGGTTCAGCTGAGCATGAGGAGGACGTTGAGATGGAGAGCCAAGCAATCACACTAAGTACAGGTGGGTGTCACTGTTGTCCTCAAGTGTGTGGTCCTAGTTGAAATAAAATACACCAAGGGGCCCTGTTTATCCATTTTTTATATTCCAATTCAAGTATTTTACATTGGCCAATTTTAGCTCAGTTTGTCAGTGTTGTATTTTGCAAAAGTACAGATCTTATGAAAATCATGTTCTCATAAAATAACAACAGTAAGGTATATAGCTGTTTTTCAAAATTCCAAATGGCTGCTACGCCGGGTTTTTTTCAGGTGAACTATTAACTAGCCTTTGCATGTATTTATGACAGGTGAAACTGATGGGGCAGGATACACATCCTTTTTAGTGACCACCTGATATCATTATTTGACACTGATTCATATACAGTGAGAATTGTACACTGACTCTACTTTGAGAAGGTATTTCTTGTGGATATAGAAAGAGTTCTGTCACTTTTATTTAGTGAAGAATACAGCTTTTAATGCAAGGGTTTTTCAGAACTGAAAGACACATAGCCCTGAAATGTTCACAAGATGTTCACAATCCTGTTTAGTTATGAGGATTTGTGTTTGTGTTGTTAAATGGCACACTCCATCAGGGGCCAGAAACGGTGTGTGCCGTAGTTTAAACGTCACATAGACGTTGAATATACACAACCTATACTGTTCTCCGACTATAAAGAAGAGTCTTCAACAGCTAGTAAACTTGATTGCCTTTATTTGTACCAAAAGTACAATCATGAGAAGACTATGCATGATGAGGTCAAACACGTGTGACGTGGTAAAAGCTGTAAAATAACAAAGGAACTATAAGTGTGATATTCCTGTAGATTGGATGAGTGTAATCACACCTTTAGCTTAATTATACTTAATTGTGTAAAAAACACCAATAGCAGACATTGAGTCTAATTTACTGGTTCAATTAAAACATTTTTGCGATATCAAAATACAATGACAGTTCTAAGTTGTTTCATAAACAATGATAAATTCCAAAAAATATATAATACAAATGTCAAGCCCACTTGTATAGAGTCTTGGTGCGAGGCTTAATGCAAGGAAAACAACATGGTACAACATGGCTGGCAAAGGGAAGTAATCAACCTAAAACTAATGGAAGCAATTCTAGTGAAGCTTACATCAAATCTTAGATGTCAGTGCGTGACATCACACTCCCCGTCTGATATTTAATAAAATATCAATACCGACTACTCTAACATAACCAATTAACACTGAAATAACACATAGTTATCTAAAATTCACTGGTATCAGATCTGGACTACTACATTAAACAATGTCAAAAAGTCACTCAGAAATCAGCAAAACTACTTCTGCCACTTGTCTTGTGAACACAACAAAGTTATTGTCTTTGAACACTTTAACTTCAATCTTCCGCATAATGTCATTGTCGTCTTTGTAGTAGGTTGGAGTTTTGTAGGAAGCTTTGTAGGGCTTGAAATATAGTTAGAGGGTTGAGAAGTAAATGGATATTATTGTGATATCTTGTAGGTATGTTGCTGTGTAGTTGTTTGATGTTTGTATGTTGTAGGTGACAATGTGTGAGTATGTGGCTTATGTCCTCTGGTGTATTGCAGTATGTGCACAGGCCATCTGGGTGTTTATTTTGTTTGTATAAGGTAAGTTTAGATTTGTAGTGCCTGAAATTAGCCTGTTTATGGCCGTGTCAATGCTTTGGATATTTGAGTAAGTGGGAATGTTTCTTATTGGTGATTTTATGATAGATGTGACCCAAGTGGATTTGTTTGTGTTTATGTTGTGGTGGAAGTTGGTGATTAACATATTTGATTTAATGAGTTGTTTGATTTCTATTTTGGATGTATGGAAATTAGTGTTGCGCGCTCAGTTGGGCCCAGTTTTGGATATGATTTAGCATTCTTTGTGTTTTGATTGTGGCTTGGTTGATTAAGGTGGAGGAAATCCAGAAGGAAATGTCGTCGGCGAAGTTAGCGGTAGAAATTTCAGGCCACTTTTCCGGAAAGATGTCGTTCATCATGAAGGTTAAATAGTGTTGGGGATAATATGCTCCCCTGGGGAGCTCCATTTTCAAGAGGGTATGGGTCCGAAAGGGTGTTGTGTGATTTTATAATTATGTGTCTATTGTTAAGAAATGAGTGAATGAAATTTAGGATTCTCCGTGTATGGCATGTTTTTGAAGGTTTTGTATAAGGCCGTTGTGCCAAACCATATCGAAAGCTTTGCTGAAATCAATAAAGATGGCCAGAGTGTATTGTTTCTGTGCCTGTGCTACCTTGATATCTTGTTCCAGATGTAAAATATGGTCTAAAGTTTGTCAGTTTGGAGTAAAGCCGCTCTGGTCCTCCTTCATTAGTTTTTTGGTAAGAATGAGATGTTTGAGCCTGTTATTTATAATGATTTCTAGGGTTTTGCATAGGTGGGAAGTAAGTGATATGGGGCGGTATGAATCAGGCTCGTTGTTGGGTTTCCCTGGTTTGAGGATAGGTACCACCCTGGCTGTTTTCCATGTGTTGGGATAGTTCCTGCGGTCCAGATATGGTTAAAGAGAGTGAGTGTGAGGTTTTGCATGTTGGGTGGGAGTTTATTGAGAATGGTGTATGTGAAGCTGTTTTTTTGGTTTTTAGTGCAGATTTGAATTTGTGAATGTTGATGATTTTGTTTATTGGTAGTTCTGTGTGTGTGTTGGGTCGGGGTGGAGGGCAGGGGCTGAGGTGAGTAGGGGGGTTGTTTTCAATGGTGTTTTGGAATGAGGGTGGGTAGTTTGTGGAGCTGCTTGTGGTCGAGAAGTGGGCAGCAAATGTGTTCGCTTTGTCTTTGTTTGTGGCTAGGTCCAGAAAGATGGGTGAGATGAGTTTTGGGGAAATGCCCTGGATGGCTTTAAATTTGTTCCACATGGTCCTAGAGTTTCGTTGAGTTTGCCTTAGGGTAGAGCAGAAATTTCTCCAGTGGTTAATTTTTGCTGCCTTGATAATATTTTTAGTTTTATTTCTTAGTTGTTTAGCCAAAAGTAATTTTGAACAGTCCCTTTTTGATTGATTAAGGGCCTTTATTCTTGCCTTTCTGGCGTTAATTATTTCTGAGCTCCACCAGGGGACTGTTTTTTGTGCAGGGTTAAACCGAAAGGTGGGGATGCATTTATCTGTGATGTCTAAGATGGCATTGGTGAGGTTGGTGTTAAAAGTGTCAATGTCTGGGTTGTAGATGGATGTGGTGTCTATTTGTTTGCATAGTGTGTTGAATTTGTGCCAGTCAGCTTTTTTAATGTTGTATCTTGTTTCTGTGGGTGTTGATAGGGGTGAGGTGGGGGTAGGCATGTGTGAGGTGATAGTGATTTTGATGGGGCAGTGGTTGCTGCCCCAGATGTCGTTGTGGACCTCCCAGTTACAAGCTTGTGTAAGTTTGGGTGTGGTTAAAGTAATGTCAATGGCTGTGGGTGAGTGAAGGTGGGAGAGTGGGTAGCAAGTAGGCTGGTTATCATTTAAGGAAGTAAGGTTGTGTTTGTCTAGCCAGTCGGCGAGGCGGGATCCGTTAATATCAGTAAAGGGTCTTGTGCCCCACAGTGGGTGGTGTGCATTGAAGTCTATATGGATGACTAAATACACAAGAGTGTTTGATGGCTATACACAAAAAGTCGATAACACTTGCGATTTCCAGGCCTGGATGGCTGCGGCACGGCGGCCAGAGGGGTGAGGATGTCGGATGTTTGTGTTGGGTTGAAGGGTTGATAGGGGGAGGACGGTTGAGTAGGCAGAGCCCGTGTTGATTGAAAGGTGGGTGACCAACGATCGGGGAGGTGCACTTTGTACAACCAGCTCTAATGAATTGTGAATCGCTAATCGTAATGAGGAGAAAGAATGTGGGGAGGAATGAGAAAGAATGTGGGGAGGAATGCTCGTATCTGACTGCTAGGTATATATAGCCCAGGCGATTGATAAGTGTTTGTATTAAGCTCTGCATTGAGGTCACAGAGTCAATCATTCATGTATTAAGGCCTGTTGGTAGCTTAAACCTGACACGACTCACTCATCTCATTCACTTATGCGATTAAACAACCAATCAACGACTGGCGCTATCAGCCGTAATTCCCGCCATTTGGTTGGCTTCCATGTCTCACTCAGAAACTCTCGGATAAGGCCTTACAATCAAAACATCAGAGCAAAGCTTGTGTGCCCCACCCAAACAATTGCCTCTGCAAACATGACACCAATCAAGGCTCAATTGGAGACAATGTTGTGAGTAGGAACTCACCATGAAGCTACTTTAGGAATGTAATTGTGTTTATCTTGTGTGAAGGTAACCTTTAGTAACAAACAATAAGAAGTAAATATCACAAAACAGTGTCTCCGTTTTCTCTCCACATGGAAATAAAGATAATACCAAAGCTAAACGCAGCAATGAAAACGTTTTATTCATCCTTCCAGACAGCATCAAACTAGATGCAAACTAGGGCTGGGACGGATACTCGGGTACAGCTGGAATCGAGTCATATTTCAAGGAATCGAGTATCTGGAAAGGGAGAGAACTCTGTAATGACAAGGGCAGGTAACTCTAGCCTAGAGCAATATGGTCGACATGCATGCAAAGTTGAGTGTTTGGGCTCATTTTGAGCTTGATTCAAAGGGCAAGAAAACCAAATGCCGACTCTGTGGTACCATGCCAATCTACTGCGGAAGCAGTACAAGTTCAATGCACAAACATCTTGCACTAAAACACAACGTAAAACATTAACGTGTTCATTACATTGTGTAACTGTGTTCATTGCTTATCAAGGTAGTTCATTAAAAGCGTTTAAGATTACATTGAATTTTGTCTATAGTTTCTATTTTATTTCAATTTCATGAAACACAGCTGTTACATTTGCGTCAAAGCTGAATACACTGACTATTAAAGAGATTGCAATTAAATGATTGTGTGTGTTGGGAAAAGCAATTAAAACTAATGAATTAACATATTTAAATGAACGTATACCAGTATTGAAAGAGCACATTCTTATTTGCAAGTACAATGTTCAACTGGTTATTATTACAATAA